CTGGTGTGCGAGTACACGCCCTCTGGTTCACTGACAGTGGCCTGGTATGTCTAGCCAATGTCCCAGTTCTATCAGGAGCCGAGACCTGGTGAGTCCAAGGTACCCAATGCTTTAAGAGGCACCAATTGATGAGTCACCTCTTCAGATGCTGGACAAAGGGCGTTTTCTGGCCCGGGGTCATCCCTGAAGCCCTAACCATTGCGTTCTTGCAACCTCCACCATCGTGACTCATTAAGGTTTTACAGTCGCCATCTGTTTCAAAAGCGGGCGCTTTATGGAGAGATTTGAACGGGATATCAGGGTCGCCATGGGAACATCCTGCCCTGCAGTTAGGGTCTGGGAGTTCCGAAGCCGAGCAAGGCCCTGGAGCCTCATGAAGATGGTTGTGCCTGAGATGGGACGTGCATGAAAGGCAGCCAGCGAACCAGCCTCTGGCATTGACCCGGGTCAACTTGACTTTATGCATTTAGGAAGAGCGTTAACTTAACCTGGTCTAGAGACAGACTGCGGTGAACACTAAAGAAGAGTGTAATACAAATGCGGCTTTGCCCTCGATGTCTTCCTAGTATGGTTGAGAATAAGCCTCAATTTTGAGATAACAGGACATCAAGCAGATTTCTGCCTTGGCACAGTTTGGTCCAGACCTGATGCACTAAATGACCTCACCTCTTAACATACATCTTTTCAATTCTTTAATGTATATTTTCTTGTGTGAAAGACTGTAGAAGTGTCTTTCACCAATAACTTCTCTTCTATAAATACAAATTCTATGAATCACTCTAAAAGCTTGTTGCAAGTATCCATGTCTCATTTTTATCACCTTTTATGTTTTTAAGCACATAGATTATTTTTATGTGTTTGTGCACCATGTATGTATCTAGTGCTCAAGGGAATCAGAAGAGGGCAATGGATCCCTTGGGACTAGTGTTACATACCATTGAGAGCCACCAAGTGGGTACTGGAAATGGAACCCAGGTTCCATTCTCTGGAATGCAAGAGCAACAAGTGCTCTTAACCACTGAGCCAACTCTCCAACTGTTATTTATTTTTAACTACAAGTATAAAACAGAGTGTGATTACTAACACTACAAGCCTTCCTACCACATAGGAGCACTGCTTTAGTTATTTGGGACAGTAGAAGCATAACTCATAATCATGAATGAAATGAGCCCCTGCATACAAGCAAAATTAATATACTATTGTGGCTTGTAAATAAAAATAGAGTTAAAGCCTATTGCTTTCATTAGTCATATAAGTGATCAAGGTAAGCCCTAATTTGGTCATAGCTCTACTTACCAAAGTGGCTTTGTATATTTTTCTGGTTTCATTACTTGTAGGAAATGGATACATGCTAATTCAACCTACTTAAGATGGGGCTATAAACTAGAATGGTGTGTGTGTGTGTGTGTGTGTGTGTGTGTGTGTGTGTGTGTGTGTGTGTGTGTGTGTGTGTGATCAGTAACCATACACAGGGCAGTTTATGGAAAGGTGCTTCCTAGCAGACATTAAATCATCACATGAAGTATAAGGGCCAAAGTCAACCTGTAAACTCCACTTACCCAAGGACAGATAGCTCCTGAAATGCTAGAGGCTATTGTTTATGGGAGATAACAAATCACGTGTTTTCATTCCCTAGACCAGTTTGTTTGACTCAACTGCACCAGTCTGGCTTGATCACACGTAGGCAGGATGTACAGGCAGGAAGTACACTAGGATAGATGCCTACCCCTAATTGGCCTTATGGAATTGCCTTTTTAAACCTCTACAAAATGTGCCTTGTCACCATTTTCTGGAAACCCCAGAATGGTCCTGGCCAGAGCCCATCCTCCTGTCCAGTGTTTAATTAAAGCTTGCTTCAAATTTGGCTCCAAAATTGTGGAACTGATCTTTCTCTAGCTAATCTCAGGTTTAACAGAAGATTTTCATATAAGACACATGACTATTAAACGATATTTTCATCAACCTGAGATAACTGGATGTAAGTAAATGACAAATTTTAACTTAGTTAACCTGGATCAGACTTTTAGGAATATAATGCTAGGATGTTCATTGTATTTAAAACACAGTACGATTTGGGGAAAAGTTTCCAGGCAACAATCATTCCAATTCCAAGTGCACATAAAAGCTTAAGGTGTGACTACATAGAATTCCTTTGCAAAGGATGTGTGACCATAAGGTAGGTTCTATAGCTAAAGGGAATGGAATGTATTGTGGCCTCTGAACAATAGCATAGAGATCAGCAGGCCATACAACAAAAGTGACATCTCCCATAAGGATAGGGTTAACTAGATAACAGTCCAAGCATCGATAAGTCTGGGATGATCAGTCTGGGGCATTTGGGTGAGGTCTGCCTCCACAAATAGCAAAAAGGTCACCAGGTTGTTAACAATATCCACTGCCAGCCTTCTGGGAAGAAAACAGGTGTTTTGTCTCCTCCATTGAGGAGAGGACACCGTGCGTGTGGGTGCAAGGATCTCTGTGCCCGCAACAGGAAAGTAATGTTTCAGAGCACATCTCTCCTTGAATTTTCCCCTTTCAGCTTTCATAGAGCTATCCACTATATTGCAAAGCCATTGATGATTCACTGCACCCTTTATCTGACCAGTAGTTTACTTCACTGAGTATTTTTTAAAAGTTTAGATAAATAATTTTATAGGAACTCAAAACGTCTTCTGCTAATAAGCATTTTCATTGTGTCTGTTAAAAAGACACAAATACAGAATTTGCAGGCTTCTTTTAAACAAGTTGTACTGTTGACTCGTGATGTTGCCTAAATACGAGAAAACTCCAGATAAGGAATCTGACCAAAGTCCCTGGGAAACATGATTACAACTTTGGTGATAGCTTATCAACAACTTTTCATGGAAATGTGCTTAGCAATGCCCTCCAGCTAGGAAAGTAACTCTGCATTCAGCATAGTTAACAGCAGTTTCCTTTATTATCATCTCTACCAAAACATGTTTGTCTATAGAGTTGACAGGAGAAATAGCAAAACAAATTATGTGTCTACTGTATGCCCTTTGTTTCCAGGCTCAAATATATGCTTATAACAACATGATAAATCATATCCTTTCCAAAATATTTCAGTGTCCCTTGTCTGTTTTTTCAGGTATGTTCACCTTTTGCTACAGGCCCCAGGCAAAGTGATGGGACATTTTATGAATTCCGCACCTATTTTCTCAAGCCCTCAAAGACAAATGAGTTCCTGGAAAATTTCAAGAAAAATGTTAACCTCCGGACAGCTCACTCTGAATTGGTTGGATATTGGAGTGTAGAATTTGGAGGCAGAACAAACAAAGTATTCCATATTTGGAAGTATGGTATGAATCACACAGCTTCCGTTTCATGCAACTGCTTGTTGTCAGATGGTCTGTAAAGCTTGGTTCTTCAGTGTGTATGAGTGTACATACACAGGAGAAAACATTTGAAAGCAATACAGTAACAAAGCCAGGGTCAATTACTCAGTGACCCCTTTGTATCTTTGTATCAACTACTTGCTTAGACTCTGAGGTCAACATTAATGGGAACATGGTGTCTCATACCAACCCCTCCTTTGATGAACTGACTTAATTCTCAAAGTATTAAAATGGCTTGTTGGAAAAGCCTTTTAAAAATTAAAATCCATGCTTACAAAAGTCCAAGTAAGTGGAGAATATAAAATGCAAGTGTCTTATTAATAGATAAAGCTGGATATCAGCATTTAGTGCTTACTGTTTTAAAATTTTTCATATTTAGAGCCTTTGGGGGGCATCAACTATCAACCTGTTTTATATTTCACTATGTATTTATTTATTTATTTATTTATTTTGCTTTTTCGAGACAGGGTTTCTCTGTATTGTTTTGGAGCATGTCCTGGAACCAGACTGGCCTCAAACTCAGAGATACCCCTGCCTCTCCCAGCTTTACACTTTTTTATTAATTTATTTTTTACATTCCAATCCCTGTTCCCCTTCCCTCCTTTTCTCTTACTCCCTCCACTCCCCCATTACCCAGAGAGGGTAAGGTGTCCCATAGGAAGTCTACTAAGTCTGTCCCATCATCTAGTTGAGGCAGGACCAAGGCACCTCTCCATCCCCACACCCCTGTGTTTAGGCTGGGCATGATATCTCTCCATAAAAAAATGGGCTCCACTAAGTCAGTTTGTGCATTAGTGTTAGGTCTTGGACCCATTGCCAGTGGCCTCATATATTGTCCCAGTCGCACCATTGTCACCTATATTAAGGGAGTCTAGTTGGGTCTTAAGCAGGTTCCCCATTCTTCAGATCTGAGTCAGTGATCTCTCACTAGCTCAGGTCAGCTGATCCTGTGGGTTTCCCCATTATGGCCTTGACTCCTTTGTTCATATTTTTGCTCCTCCCTCACTTTGATTGTACTTCAGGAGGTTGGCCCATTGGTTAGTTGCAGATTTCTACATCTGCTTCCATCTGTTTCTGGCAGAGGGTTCAAGATTCTCTGGGGTTGTGAATTGTAATCTGGATATCTTTGCTTTATGTCTGGTATCCACTTATGAGTAAGTACGTACTATATTTGTTTTTCTGGTTTAGGGTTACCTCACTTAGGATTTTTTTTTCTAGTTCTGTCCATTTGCCTGCAAATTTTAGGATGTCATACATATCAACTTTTAAGCTTCTCTAAGATTTAATGATTTTGTTATATGTAGCAATCACTTTTGTTTAAGTTCTTCACAATTTCAAAGAATTCACTGTCATGTTCCATAATGGAGGTAAAGGCAGAGGAGTTGAAGAAAGGTCTTCTCAAGCAGAAGATGACATAGCTACAGAAAGGAGAAGTTACAAGAATGTGTGACGTTCCTTACTCCTCTGATGGTTTTCACACTCTGCAGCAGGGTCTGAGAGTACCCAAACAATTCTTCATCATTTCCTTTTGGGTTTGCCCATCAGTGTCCAGATTAGTTTTTAAAAAATGCTTCACTGTCAATACTGTCTATTCTGTACCTAATCTATCACAGTTTGGGGCTTTTCCATGCTGTAATAGATCAGCCTCATCAAAATTAATATCTGCTTCAGATGGGGTGCAAGTTAAATCATGACTCATAAGAGAATGAACAAGAGTGAGAAAGACAACACTGTTTTTGTTTACAGAATGCATTTTATTTTACTTATGTTGAAATTTGTTCAGTGTATACCTTGACTTGACCGCCTACCATCACTACCAAAATATTTTCCTGTCAACTGGGACTGTCAGTTATGAGCTGCAGTTGAAGAGTCCACATCCACGGAGCACCAAGTGCTAAAGTCTGTTCTGAGTGCTCTTCATGGGTTCATGTAATCCTCACCCCAAACCTGGAGATTCATGTTATATTATTCCCCGTATCACAGACTGAGAAACACATAGTGACTTAACTCCTGCATACCACTGAGTGGCAGAGCATGTGCAGCCAGCTCAGTGAAATCACAATAGTCCTTCTATTTCTTTTGCCCTGAAGACTATTAAATGACTTGATGTAGATGTCACATCTTTGCAAGTGGGTGTTCCCAATGAGGTAACACAGAGTTCTTGTGTGCTGTGGATAAAATGTTTGCTCATTTGAGTAAAATCCAAAATTAGATAATTTTAAATAAAACAATTTAAACTTTTCTCCATTTTTTTCCACCATAGATAATTTTGCTCATCGAACAGCAGTTCGTAAAGCCTTGGCCAATGATAAGGCATGGCAAGAAGAATTCCTCATTCCAAATTTGGCTTTCATTGATAAACAAGAGGTTGAGATCACCTACCTGGTACCATGGTGCAAAATAGGAAAGCCTCCCAAAGAAGGTGCGTCTGTCTTAGCCGCTGTGAGTTTTCATGACTGAAATAGTACAGATGTTAAGTGATTTAAAAAATAAAACAGCCGGGCGTTGGTGGCACATGCCTTTAATCCCAGCACCTGGGAGACAGAGGCAGGCAGATCTCTGGGAATTCAAGGCCAGCCTGGTCTCCAGGATCGAGTGTCAGGATAGGCTCCAAAGCTACACAGAGAAACCCTGTCTTGACTCAAAAAACCAAACCAAACAAACAAAACAACAAAACAAAGTGTCACTGGAAAACAACAAAAAAAAATGAATTGTTTATTTTATATAGAAATGATGCTGTGACAATTGAGATAAAAACTGATCTTAGTTCATCCTTAAAAATGAGAATTTATGAACTGTTTTTCCAAACAAAGCTGTGTGTGTGTGTGCGTGTGCGTGTGCGTGTGCGTGTGTGTGTGTGTACGCATGCCTATATATCTGTCTATTATCACTGGCATACCTGGTGCCTATGGAGGCCAAAACAGGGCATCAGATATTCATGGAACTGGAATTACAGACAATTGTGAACTGCCATATGGGTACTGGGAATTGAACCCAGGTTTTCTGCTAGAACAAGTGCTCTTGACTACTGAGCCATCTCTCCAGCCCTTGCAAATTAAGTTTTATGGGTTAAAGCTTAGCTACAGTATAGAAAAAGTCTATATAATACAAAAGCAATACAAACTTTTATTCATTTTTAGCATTGAGACAAAGTCTCACAATGTAGCTCAGGTTGACCTCTGACTCACAATTCTCCTCCCTTAGACTCTCAAATGGAGAGATTATAGACATTTACTACCATGCCTGTTTAAAGAATATAAACATTTAACTATAAAAATACTTTCTACAGATTACAGTGTTTAAGGTAAGTACATCTTTACTTATAAAATGGACTGTCTGGAGGGAGGGAGTTAACTGACATTGCTGAGCTATACACTGTAGCTAACTTCTCAGTCTTCATCTTTCTTCTTTCTCAGTTTGAAAATAATCCTTATGATATGGCTCCTTGCTGATTTAAAGAACTGTTTTAACCAAAGGTCAGATTAAAAGAGCATAACGCTTTAATTTTTACTTTATTTCCCATTTTGTCCTAACTCTATAATGTCTTTTAGAGTACAAGAAATTTGAAGTTTCATTGAGACCTTTACCTGTAGTGAGTAGAGGAAGCCCTGAGTGAAGTTCTGAGTGAGTGTGTATTTTAACACGGGCAAGAACCTAGCAAGGGTACACAAGGCCCTAGACCCATGGGACAGTTGGCAAGGCTCAAGGGAAATGGCAGAGCTTTTGGTAGGAGTCAGCTATGAGTGTTTATGAATGATTGATCCTTGTGTGCAGACAGCAGCTGCAGCTTCCTCCTCCTGGGCCACTCACCTGCAGAGACCTCCTGCTAGACTAGCTAACCCCCATCCCCGTGCTGCACCCAATAAACAAGCTGAGGTTTCAGCTGGTGGTGGAAGTGGTGATGTTAAAGAGCCTCTCCTGATTCCAGCCTCGTTGTGTGTGCACCTGCATGTGTGTCTTTTCTTCATTCTCTTGCTGCCTCTACCCTGGGTTATGGGACCCAAGCCACAAGGCATGTGCCCTTTGCTCTCCGAACTGCCCAAACATTCTTACCATCTCTTGAAGTGCCAAATCTTGTTTTGTTTTGTTTTTACACTTTTCACATTTATTTATATAGTGTATATTCATGCTGTAGTGTGATAGATCAGAGAACAACTTGGGATTGTTGGTTCCTTCCTTATATCGTGTGTGTTCCAAGGAATGAACTTTGTCAGACTTGGCAACAAGCATTTTGAAAACACTGAACCATCTCACTGGGCTTAAATCTTTATATTTTTCATAATTTCTTAGTGACCTTATACATGTTTCTATCACACTACTTAGCCTCCAGTTTCCCACCTCTGTTTTATATTTCTGACTGGAGGTGAACAGCCTGTCAAGCAATTCTTGGATATATAAGAATAATAAACCCCTTCAGAAAGTTAGGTAGGGCTTCAGGCCATGTTTTTTTGCTTTTCCTGTTAGAAACAGGCTCCCACAGGAGAAGGTTTATACAAAGAAAAATGTCTCCCCTCACAAAACTGAAAAGAAGAGGGAAAAGTGGAACATTAGAAGATACTTATTTCTTATAGACTTGAACAGCTTAAAATCCTGTTTCATGATAAAGTATCAGTATCTGCTATGTTAAGAAAGTTCCCAGATTAAAAATATTTAATGTAATTCTTATATAGCTTCTATTTCCCCTCAGTTATTAAGGTTAACTTTAAACATAGACAAGATTTTCTAACCATAAAAAAGGGGAAAAATAATGCAAAGAATTAGTGAATATTCCTGCATAAATCTGTATATGTAGATGACCCTTCAAGCACATAGCGCCACCTTCCACTCAAGTCAAACAAAGAGACTTGCTTGAATAATGTCTATTAAATAATGTCTGTTAAATAATTTGTGTCAATTCTAGGAGTCTATGAATTGGCTACTTTTCAGATGAAGCCCGGAGGCCCAGCTCTGTGGGGTAACGCATTCAAAAGGGCTGTAAATGCCCATGTCGATCTTGGCTACTCTACACTAGTTGGTGTTTTCCACACTGAATATGGAGCCCTCAACAGAGGTACAGCTGTCTATTTCTATGAGACCGTTATGAATGCTCGTGATCACCTGTTTCTTGGATATTTGGTTTTGTTAGTTTGTTTAAGATTTATTTGTTTATTAGGTGTACAGTGTTCTGCCTGCATGTGTGCCTGCAGGCCAGAAAAGGGCACCACAATTCATTACAGGTGGTTGTGAGCCTCCATGCGGTTGCTGGCAATTGAACTCAGAACCTCTGCAAGAGCAGCCAGTGCTCTTAACCGCTGAGCCATCTCTCCAGCCCCTGGGTACTTTTTGTTTGTTTTGTTTTTGTTTTATTATGATTTTGATTTTGAAGGTTTTTTTTCTAATTATAAGGTATGAAAATACTTATCTTTTATTGTGATTGCTTATACCTTTTGGAGCTATTTTACAGGCTAACTATTGCTTAGAAACTGGAAGAATCTTTAAGAAAATATTAATTCTTTTAATTTTGTCTTCTAAAATCTTAAAATTTCTTTCAAAATAACATTATTGGAGTAAAGAGATTGTATATTTTCTGAATGAAAATATAAACATACATACATGCATATATATATATGTATATATATATATACATATATATATGTAAAAATTATGGACAAAGCCAAACCAAAAAAAAATTACCTATTTCTCATTATTGAAATTAATAGTGTTCTATAAACATCTATGACAAAGGGATGCCAAGACCAAAGAATTATTAGATATAAAAAGGCTGGAAACAATGCATGAGCATGCCTGGTGATAGCTTTGTGGACTCTAGTTTGGATAGACAGACTGTACTGGCATGATGGCCTGAGTTTGATCCCTAGCACCTATGTCAAAGCTGACTACAGTGGCACCATTTATAACCTCAGCCCTAGGAAGATGGAAATAGGAGTCTGGCTGGAAGTCATTGACCACTGACTTCCACATGCTTACACGTGTGTGCATCCACACACATACACAATCAGGGTCAGGGATGTAGATCAGAGGTTTTCATTCTGAAGGCCCGAAACTTTATGCCTAGTACATGCAACACACTTAATATTCTTAATAATACCTGCAGTAAGGTTATATTTAGAATATAATACACACATGCATACAAATACGCAGGTGACAAAAATTAATGGAAATAGAGGACACAAATTTGAATGAGCAAGGAAGGTTGTGTAGGAGGGTTTGGAGGGGGAAAAGAAAATAAAAAATTATGTTACAATCTCAAAATAAAAGAAAAAATACCTGTTATTAAAACTTACAGCTAACTTCTGAATCCCTCCTGCAGTTCATGTTCTGTGGTGGAACGAGAGTGCAGACAGTCGCGCGGCTGGGAGACACTGGTCTCATGAGGACCCCAGAGTCGTGGCTGCTGGTGAGCTGTTTCATTAGATGTGAATTATTTTTGGAACACATTTGATTCAGCCGATAACTTCATTGTCTTGTAAAATGTCTTTGCAGTTCGGGAAAGCGTCAACTACCTCGAGTCTCAGCAGAATATGTTCCTGATCCCAGCATCCTTTTCACCACTGAAGTAGTTTCCAACCTGGACATGGGACATCCCCGTCACTGACATGAGATGCTCAAAAGAATCAGTCTCTTTGTTGTCTGAGGGAGGTGGTGAGTTACTTCCCAGTCCCTCTGTATTTGAAGGCTACCTGTGTCCTCTACTACCAGCAATTCCGGAAATACTTCTGTTCATTTTCCCCATGCCATTTCATGTCACCATGTCAGACATAAGAAAGAGTTGCCTTTACTCTGTGACCCTGGTACTTTATTGTTCCACAATATCTTGTCTTCTGTGATTTTATGACTCATTGCTGTCTTATATTCAAATAATGATTTTGAAATATTTTTAAATTAGTTAAATACAGTATCTGTTTTTTGAACATGTTCATTTTTCCTGAAATTTAAAAATAATTTTTTACCCAATAGTGTTTGCTTTGTGATATCAAATGGGATTCATAGAAATATTAAATCTAGTATTTGTCGTAATACTTTATAAAGGTACAATATAATACCATCTGTATTAATTGTGATTTCACATTAATTATTAAGTCAAAGTAGGAAAATAATATAAACTTGAGACTTGTTACTGGATAGTATGGTTTTGGCATGTTCATTTTTAATTAACTTTTACTATTTTTAACTTTATCTTGAATCACTCAGAAAGATTATGATATTTACTTCAATGAAATCTTTATAATTGGAAATCTTTGACCTAATAAAAGCCTTCACACCCATTCTGATTCTTTTCAGCTGTGTCTTGTATATTGATATCCTCTCCTCTGGAGCTCTTCCTATGTGGCGTAGGGTAATGACACCATACGAACGTGGCAGCTTCATAGTGAGTGTGAAGTCACATAGTGGACGATGCTTGCTGACTCTGGAGGCAGACTTCTTTAGAGATCTTGACTGTCTGGGGCATGAGGTGGTAATCAGGAAGGCAAACTGTGCAGTGTTCACAGACATCCATCTCAGAACTCTTCAGGTATATTCACAGCACTGTAATGTGTCTCACACATAGGAAATAGCTGGAGCTTGGTATGTGCTTCACATACTCATAGAGAGACAATTAAAAGACACCATGAAGTCATTCTCAGATAGTTTCGGGTCGCAGAGAAACCCTGTCTTTGAAAAGAAAAGAAACAAACAAAAACCATCCTGTCTCTCTCTCCCCCCATATAGTAATACAAAAGAAGATATCATGTTTTCTCTCATATGTGGTTCCTAGATTTTCTGTACATGAAATCATGCACGTCTATATGAAATGAAAGTAAAAACAAAACTGGTAACAGAGGGGACTAACGGGGGCAGAGAAGGGTGAAGGGGAGGGGAGGTTTGATAGAGGGGAATATAACTCAATGTACAGTGTATGCTTGTGTGAAAATTTTCTTAGGTAACATAAATACCATGTGCAATGAATGTATACAATTAATTTTTAATTGTTAAAGATGCAAATGATCATAAGCAATCTTTAAATTTAATTAAAATTTAAAGTTCACTATAAAATGTTAAAAGTGACTTAGCATTTTTGTTTTAACTGTTTGAGCATCAATCTCTGTCCATTCCTGTAGTAGAGTAAAAGGTGAGAGAAGAGCTGACATTTGGTCTTCTTGATGGGAACACCAATCATCCTAACAGGTCTCCTTAATTTAAATTGTATACCTTATTCACTTGGTTTAAATCATATATGTGTTACTTGTATTTCAGTCCAACTGCATTTTCACTCTCTACGAAACATAAGACGACAGAGATGTGCCTTCCAAGAGGTTTGAAGAGGAAAGTAATTAATATGCACAGGTTCACACAGAAGCATTGATTTTCTGTAATTTGACTTTCTTGTTATTACATTTTTCCCAGTACCGGCTTCCCGTCTTCATTTCTTCACGGGAAAATAAAAAGTAATCAGAAGAGACTGTGCAGACTGACACTTCCCCATCACTGTCTGCAGCAGGCTCCCTTGGGAACTGTTTCCCATCCTACTATGTGTTCTTCTCCTACTATATGATCCTGGTGAAGACCAGTTCGTCCACCTGTAGACTTAGTAGCTGAAGGATACAGCTCCAGAACTTTCTGTCTCATGAAGCTATGCTTCTGAATCTCAATCCTTCCCAACATACAAATGTGCTATTACTTATCCCATCTTTAAAAAACAAAAACAGCCAGTGGTGTGGTGGCACACACCTTTGGTCCCAGCACTGGGGAGGCAGAGGCAGGTGGATCTCTTGAGTTCAAGGCCCGCCTGGTCTGCAGAGTGAGTTCCAGGACAGCCAGAGCTACACAGAGAAACCCTGTCTTTGAAAAAAAGACAAGAAAAGAAACAAACAAAAACCATCCTGTCTCCCCACCCCGTATATAGTAATACAAAAGAAGTGTCATACTTCCAGCCTCTGATTCTCTGTTAAATGTCTTACTACCCCCACTAAACAAATAGCTCTTATTAAACTCACTTTCCAGTCCTCATTTTAGTGGGTCTCCAGCGGTTGATGACTTCTTTGTTCTGGAAGTATTTTCTTCATTCTCCTTAATGGTAGCTGCTTAGTCTTCTTTTCTCATTAATGCCTTGTCTCTTAATGTCCAGTGGTGTCACATTCCAGAGCTGATACCTTAGTCTCCTTAGCTGTCCTGAACTCACTTCCTGAATTATTTCTCAGTCTCAAGTCTCCAACTACCACCTGTGTTCAGACAGTCCGTCCAGTTTATATGCATTCTCTAGAATTCAGCCTTTTCCAACTGCCAGTCTTAACACCTCTGCCTGAATCTATTAGAAACTTCACACCAACCTGTGGAAAGCTGAGCAGCCCTGTCTCAGTGAATGACACCTCCCATCCTGTCCATTTGCTCAGGTCATTAACCCCATTACAGACCCATCAGCAGATCTCCCAAACCCAGAATTTGATTGCTTCACACCCCTGCAGCCACCATTCTGATGCAAGCCCATCATTATTGGGATTTAAGGAGAAAGCTCTTAAGTGATCTGCCTTCATCCTATTCTTTTTTCAGCACAGCAGCCAGAAGAATATAAAACATAAAGCACATTGTCATTCCTTGACACTCCCATGCCTCCAGTAGCTTCCTGTCTCACTGGAGTCTGTGTCCAAAGCGTGTCGGTGTAGCCTACAAGCCCTTACAAGACCTGTCCTCCTTGTTACCTTACTGTCATTCCACTCCCTCAGGTCCAGGCTGACCTAACAACTTTTTTTCTTAGACTTACTAAGCATTATCTTGCCTTAAAGTCTATTGCCCCTACCTAGAATCTTCTTCATGGATAATTTCCTTACCCTTTTTGTATCTTTACCCCAGAGTCCTTACAAAGGGATAAAGTCTCTTCTCTACATCTCTATGTGAGTTAACCACAATCACAGTGTGCACTAGGATCTAATCATGTTGGCATCCTCATCTCAGATTTCTCAACCTCCAGAAGAGTGAGAAATAAATGTTTGTTGTGTAAGCCACACCATCAGCAGTCTGTCACTTACTAGCATAACAAACATTTTAGTTATATGTGATTTCTATTGTATTTCTCCTTCCACTAGAAACTAAATATCACGATATCATGGGGTATCACCAGTCAGTACCTGGCACATGCTAAGTTGTCAGTGTTAGACCCCCGGAAAACTCAGGTATCCAGGATCCCAGGCCACGACCGCGGTCACCCCAATCACCAGGCGGATTCGAGAGCTTATGCAAACTGCACGAGGCTTTATTATAATTTAACAAGCTAACCCCATGTTAGCTCGGGTCTTTCACCCACCTGCCATGGCGGATGGCTCGAAAAAGACAACTCCTAGGGCCTCCCAAGAGATCTTAGGGCAGCATCAGGGGAGTGTCTAGGGGTACGCACAGGCTCACTATTGGTGTGCCTCCAGCCTTGGAGGCCTTGCCCTGTGTTGATTGGTCAACTGGTTGTTATGGTCCATAAGCCCTCCCAGGGTGGTTGCTATGCTCTGCGTCATTGCTGTGTGCTTGTCCTTAAAGTACACCCAGGGTCGTAAAGCATAGCGCCACCAGCTAACTTCTGATTGGTTCCTTGTCACGAGGCAGGCACCTAACCTCTAGTGACTAAGACAAGGTCATAGAACATGTGTTGGCTGCCGAAATGGGGAGCTTTCCCTTCAGTCAGCAAGCACTTATTGATTATATGAACATATGAAATGTGCTACATCTTAAGTATAGTTTGCATGTAACCCCCCTCTCCCAAAGACTTATGTACTGGTGTTTGCATGTGACCCCCCCACCCAAAGATTTATGTGCTGGAGTTTGATCCTTACAGTGATGATGGAAACATGATTCCCAGTGGAAAGTGGCTAGGTCATTGGTGGTACCAGTACTGGAAAGGGTTAATGTAATATTCTTGGTTTCCATGTTGATTCTCTTGAAGTTGAGTTATATTGGTTACTTTGTTCATTGCCATGTTAAGACGCCTGTCAAAAATACTTTGGTGCATGGTTTTAAGTGGGACAATCCATCACGGCAGGGAAGATGTAACAGTTCATGGAAGTGGAAGTATATGGCCAAAGCTCCTCTTGCATCTGGTAAATCATGAAACATGGAGACCTGGACAGAAAGTGAAGCCAGACTATAATCCTCAAAGTTTAATATTCTCCCGAACAGTACCACCAGTTGAGGACCATGTGTTCAAAATCATGAGCATGTAGGGAACAGTTCACTACATTCATGTTAATAGTAAGTTGCTTAAAATCCCCTGCATCTCTTTGGATTTCTCTCTTGCTGTGTGGCCTCTCCATTTTGTACATGCTACCACCACAATGCCATCTTCCATGAGGCTCAAATGAGACCACCTGCTCTTGGATTTTCAGCCTCCAAAGTTGTAAGTTTTGAGCTAAATTAATCTCCCCCCCCCAAAAAAAATATCCAGGATCAGATATTTGTTATGGCAACAGAAAACAGATGAGTACAAGAGTTTTGCATTTAACAAAGTAGTATATTATTCCTCCATACTTCATCTTATCCATTATTATCAAGGCATTATTGAAGGTTCCTCACCACCTTGTTTGGAAAGTATCCATCGAAAGACAGTGAATGACACAGTAGAAATTCTCACTATGAGTGCAATTAAGAAACACAGAAGATACTATTGCCTATAGTGGGAAATTACCAATACGGAGTCAGGTAGAAATATAAGGGTGTTTAATAGGGAAAAGCCTTACTTACAGAGCGACCTAGCCAGCCGGCGTGGCAGCAGTCTGTACAGCAAGTACCAAAGTGAAACCGCAAGAGCAAACGCAGTCACACTACGTCACTCTGACCATGCCCTCACAAGCGTGGTCAGGCACACCTGTAGCCAGTCCCTAAGAAGGCGTGTCTACAGCTTCCCCTACAATTGCCTATTGGTTATGAGATGCCTTTATAGACTATAGAAGTACAGCGATTCTATTTATAGGAAGAGAAACAGATACATGGCCAATTGAGTCTAATTCCTCTGCCACTAAAAATCTTACAAAGGATGAGGAAATAGTGCTTGCAGACTCACACTCAGAACTCCATTCCCAGCATGGGCTCCTATCCACTGAACACTAGATTAAGAGCCTAGACACTTAACTACTGTGGAAACTGAAGTTGTAGTCCTCTCTGTCATTGAAGGAGTATGACCCTGCATCATGTTGGAAGAAGCCTAAGATTCATCAGAGAGACTTGATAAACTGTTACTTGGAGTGACCTCTCTCTACTCAGTGTTGTAAAAAGAAGCATGTTCTCCAGGGAGAACACAATTTGACTTCTCCAGTTTCAGCTAATTGACCCCAAAACCCTGACGTAAGAGAACCTGGTGGAGAAAGGCTCCTGACAGCTAAAGGATTTAAACCACTCATAAAGGAAAACAGGGTGCCAGCTGTAGCTAGCTGCAGGCAAGAAGAATCCAAATGTAAGCTTTGTGATCCAGGCTCTATTTGTCTTTCCCTTCAGAGCACAATGCCCTGTGGATTGGTGTATATTCACTATTCTGCCTCCTTACCTTCATTCTTCCTCATCAGTCCACTGACTTTGGAGGTTCCCCAGGAACCGTTTTAGGAGTGCATGGATCATTATTCCCACAATTACCTTACTCACAGGGGAAGTTTCAGATATAAGTAGACGTTGGCCTTCCAGTAACATGCCATTCTCTAAGTTTCAGTTTATGACACACCCTAGGTGTGTTTGTTCCTCTTCTTCCTTCTTGCTGCCCATTCCTGCCGAGTTTCCTTCTAAATCTCAGATCTCAGGCTCAAACTTTTATTCTTTCTAGGTAAGTTCATCAAGTCCCATAACTTAACGAACTATGTGGTGTGTGTGTGTGTGTGTGTGTGTGTGTGTGTGTGTGTGTGTGTGTGTGTGTGGTATACTGTTAATATGACATTTTTATTCTCTGTCATTGCCCCTGAACTCCAGACTGGAATATCAACTGCATGTTTCAACATAAACATCTACTAAGGTCACATGCTGGAAACCATTTTTGATTTTTCTTTCCCTTGACCCCTACCTTTAGCCTGTGAGCAAATGCTGGTGGCTCTGAAGTTTTGTCTGTTGCTCCTATTCCATCCTGTATTCTAGCCTGTGTTCTGTATCCTATATCCTATCCCATCCTCTATCCTCTCATCCTCTCTACAGCCCTTTCTCCCCATCAAAGTCCACACTGGCTTAAACAGAGATTAGACCATACAGTACCTGTTGCCCTCCTGAAAACCTCATGGCCCCTCACTACCACAACACAAAAGGACAAATACCCTGATGATTCTGCAAGACCCTGGTTCCATCCCCCACTTCTCGTCCCCATAGACACTGGATTCCTTTTCCTCCTCTAGCAGCCAGGATTTCTCCCAGGTGTGTTTTGATATTACCTGTTTCAGATGTGTTCTCACCGCTCACCTTCCGGTATTGCTCTAATCCTTTTGTTCAGATCTGAACTTAAATGTCACTCCTCAGACAGGCTGTTTTTGACTCTTCCCCATCTTTAGCCTGTCACCATGTTTCCTACTCTTCAAAGCACTTGATGTGCCAGCTGTGTTTGTCCACTGTTACTTGCCCTTCACTGATGCATCGAGAAATTATATTTCTCTCAACATTGTATCTCCAGAACCCAGAAGGATGCTGGGCATATAAAGCTCAGTAAATATTTGCTAGATTAATAAATAACAATGCTTAGAGGATTTACCAAGGACAAGTTTAACTGACACTTAACTTCAAAGGAGCATTTGTCATCTAATTAGCACTGCATCATGGAGCAAATTTCTCTGAGGTATCATTTATTTAACATGTAAAATGTCTTATCTTAACTCATGGGAAAGGTTACCACTATCTAACAAGTCAAAAAACAAAGCAAAACAATAACAACAACAAACCAAACTTGAAAATAGTAGCTTATTTTATCCTCTGATTTTTCTAACTTAATCCATACAATAGCACTGTCCATAAGATCCAGAGTAGATTTCTAGAAAGGCTTTTCTCTAGAATGTTTTGGTCAAGACTTATGGGTAACTTGTATTTTCATCTAGATTAACTGTTAACTGCCTTTTTCACAATACATTTTTTTAACTTCCTCCATTGTGAATTTTCACAGAAACAGTTATATTTCATCCAAGTCCTTTTGTGAGAACTGTAGAAGATACAGTTGTGTGGTAGATGCTGAGCAGGACTCTAGCCCTGCTCAAAAGCCAAGAAGAGCCTTCATCTACAGCTCCCACCTGTGCCCTGGATCCAGGACCACTTACTGTACATTATCCCAGCCATTCTGAGGAGCTCACTATAGAACCAAGACCCATTGGGATTTTCAGGTTGCAAACTATGTATATATCTTTTTTTCTGAGACTATTTATTATTTTATTTATTTTACATCCTGACCAAAGTTTCTGCTCCCTCTCCCCACCTCCCCTCTGTGGCCTGCTCCATCCTCTCCTCTTCCATCTCTAATCAGAAAAGTACAGACATCCCATGGATTTCAACAAAACATGGCATATCAAGTTGCAGTAAAACTAAGCACCTTACCTTTTATTAAGGCTGGGTAAGGCAACCCAGTATGTGGAAGAGTCCCAAAGGCTAGCAAATAAGTCAAAGATAGCCCCTGATCTCCCTTTTGGAGTCCCACAAGAAGACCAAGCTATACAACCATTATATCTATGCAGAGGGCCTAAGATCAGTCCCATGCAGGGTTCCTGGTTATTGGTTGAGTCTCTGCGAGTTCATAAGAGCCCAGGTTAGTTTATTCTCTGGGTTTTCTTGTGGTGTCCTTGACCCTTCGGACTCTTACAATTCTTCTACCCTCCCTTCAACAGGTTTCCCTGAGCTCAGCCTAATATTTGGCTGTGGGTATCTGCATCTATCAGTTGTTGGATGAAGCCTCTCTGGTGACAACTGGGCTAGGCACCAATCTATAAGAATAGCAGAATATCGGCTAGTGGTATTGGTTCTAGCCTATAATGAACCATGAAAAATACATCCACACTTTCTTAACAGAGCACCACTTAACACTGATCTGGAAGCAGAGTGAGTGTGGAAACCAACCCCGGTGCCTCCTAGTATCATTTCTCTCCCCAAATTTCTACTCTTTGGGCATGGTGACCCTTGCCATTGCCTCCCCCCACACACCCCTTCCAGTACACATGATGCTGTGTTTTTATAGTTTTGGTTAAATAAGCACCAAAGGCTACCTTTCTGTAGCCTCCTCAAAATCAGTTCTGTTTTCATTAAGGAAGTCTACCTGGAGTGTTTTCTCTTTAGCTTAATAGTCAGTAATCATTAGTTCATCTAGAAAAGTACTTAAACCTTATTTACAGAAGTTCTTCAGCCTCATCTGAATCAGAAAGTATACAATGCTCTGTTATTTTGAAGTAGCATACTGGGTTCTTTCTACAGAGCATTTTAACTTTTCCTAAAACTTACACTATTGGCTAGAACAGCTTCCCCTGTAGGCTTTATAATACTTTAACAGCAGATGGTGCTACGGATGCACAAAAGTAAATTTTTGTAGACCAGCAGGACTGTCACAGCTTTATTTTGTGACTCATAACATAGAAACAGGCTTTTTAAAACACTTCATATAAAGTTATTGACAATACAAATTTTTTTCTGTTTTTTTTTCTTTTAATGAAAATGATTTAACTTAGAAATCTGCTCTGAAACTTTTGTCTAGTTTTGCAATTCTCAGATATTCCAGTGCAAAAACAGATCCATTACAGACAGCTTAAAGTGCTTGGAATAAGGGCCAATGATAAAGAAAAAGCACAAAAACAGCTTTATCCTGGAGTACAAGGGGAAAGGACATACCGAATCCATATGGAAATATAAATGCTCTATAAAAAAAGGGATGCAACAGTTTTGAATCAGAACAGCATTTCTGTGGTATTACACTATCACCAGTAAATAGTAACAAGAGTACAAATTAGTATTTCAGTATCAAAGTGGTTCCCCATTATATAACACATGGCTCTTTGGAACGATTTTACCTGATATATACAACCATGAGAAGACAACAGACAATCCCTTTAAGTCAATGATTACTATACAGAGAGCAAATGATGTGTAACATCTAATAGGCATGAGGCATATACTTTCAGTACAGACATCTAAATACAGTAGTTTGAGGTTTGTTTGTTCCAGAATGAATTGTGCTGGGTATGTATAGAGAGAGGACTCACTTTCTTTTGTCTTTCTCATATTCACAGTTAGTAAGTTTTCCAAGATTAAAAAGAAAAAAAGGTAAATCAGATGTGTTTACGTTTGAGAATTTCTAAATTCACATAGTACATCTTCACAGGGAATATGAGGAAACTTATTTGAAGATAGGGCTGATTTTTTTTTAAATCTCTAAAATAATTACATTTATACAGGAAAATTGAAGATTGCTGTTCGGATAGTGTAAAAGGCAACACAATATCTATAGATTGTTTCTAGCTTTAGAAAAACATGTCAAATCTACATTGAATTAAATTTTTCTCAAAATGGTTCATAGTGATTTAGGTTTTTTATTGTTACTTGTTTTTGTTTGTGTTGAATATGACCTCAAAATCAGAGTTACTAAAACAATGATTTGCTCAGGGCTGTAGTGTAATGAAAAGTTAGAATATGTTAACAGTGGACTGAGAACGCCAACTAAAGGTCGATTTTGAAAAATAAAGTTTTTTTTTTTCTTTTGTATCTCTGATACATAAGTACAGTGGTATGCCAATAACTATTGGAAACATTTTATTTTTAGAAACCTATGTTTACATTAGTATCAAAATAGTCATTTTTCTTTTCAAGCAATGAGTTACATAACATTACTCTATAAACTTTATAGATCTGAAATCTTATACTTCCAAATTTGCTGTTTAAATTTTAGAATTAGTTGAAGAAACCAGTAATAGTGAAAGCTCACTTGAACTTTGCCATACAGGAATTCACTCAGATTTTGTTTTGTAGGAAGACAGATAACATTGAGCATTAGTGAGATAACATTTTTTACACTGTTTGCCAATGAAAAAAATTAAACCTGAGTGAGAAAAGTCTCAAAAATAGTCAACATGGAATAATTTGTTGACTTTTTTTTAATGATTGGTTAGGCTGAAGAAATTAAACATCTGAGACTGTCAGAGGTTTGGGTGGGTGTCTGATATCCTGCAATGCCAATTATTTTGAAGGTCACAAGCACAGGTTGTATCCAGGAAATTTCAAGCTAGCTGTTTTCTCCTTAAAACAGTTCATTATTTAATGACCCGTCTTAGCTTTTGCACTGATGCTATCAAGTGGGCAATGGAGCGGCCATATTCATTCAGTGGATTCAACAAAACCACCTACATGTGTAAATCAGTCAACTGAATACATGGCACAGAAAATCTGCTAGCCAACCCCTCATTCCTATCCACATATCTACACGGTGACTACACACCATAGTATTCGCCAGGGTCTTAAAAATGTGGCATGAGATGTTGACTACCATGTTGCTTTCTGGACACCAGGCACTAGTTAGACATCCACCTGCAAATCTACCAAGGAAAATAAGGCATGAGGCAGTGTGGTCACATTCCTCTATGCCACCATCATCTTGAAACAGTATGTTTCAAGGCTCCAAAAGCCAATGGTAAAACTTAAAATTCCAAATAACAGTGCAAAGATTTTTGTCAAAATTCCACCTTTTCATTTCCTAGGTTAATTTAAACAGTTAGAAATATAACTAGCAATAATACTACATTTGTGTCAAATAATAAAGGATCTTGAGATGCAGTGTACCGTGTTATGTTAGCAGTCAGGATAGACAGACCCAGACCTCCCACATGTAAATTCACCAGCTCTTTCATGCCACACCTTGAACTCAGCAGCTTGCAGCCCCAGCAGTTGGCTGCTGATCTTTGTTTCTTATGAGGATCTAATGTGTGAAAAGGTCTCAGAAAGATGACCTGGTGACCCATGACTCCAAGCACAGACAACCCCGAACAACTGAACCAAGTCTCCTGTACTTAGGGTGATCCACATTTTGCATCTGGCAGCCACAACAGCAGCTCATCAAAGAGAGAACCAAAGCAGGGCTTTAGTCACACATGGCACCATTTTGTCACCTGATATTTAATGATGTCGATAGACAGCAGGGCGGCTTTCACAAAAGTGTGTGTGACACACCTCAGGGCTTCAGACTTTCTGAGCAACTTGGCACTAGTAATTCTGGCACACTCATTGCCAGCAATGGATGTGTCACCAGGAAACCAGTTTTGTGGTTCGGCACGGCTTAATGGGTGCCTTTAACTTTGATTACCACTGGCCATGACTATTTGATGGATTGTTGTTGCAATCCCAGTGAGAATACACAGGAACAAAAAAGTATGAATCCAAACCCATGGTCTGCTTGGTTCCATACCAGAGTTTCACATCTGTATAAGGTAATGAACTAACTTCAAGTCATTTTCACTAGAGAGCCATACAAGACATAGGCTACAAAGGCACTGCCCCTGTAATGGAATTGTGAGTTCCCATTGCATTGAATTGCATTGCATTGAATAGTGTCAGTACAGTATCCAGTTTGTTTCTCTCCACAGAAATGCAGGATTCTTGTGGAACACTTGACACAGTGCGAAGGAAGACCTATCTCTTCCTTCCTTTCATTCACCCTGTATGAACAGGACTCTTCATACATAACTTTCTTTCACTTTCTCATCTTGTAAAAAAGATGTGAGGACAGCCACATCCACAACTGTCTGATTTTTGTGTAATGAAAGGTCCTTTAAGTGGTCATCATCACTTTGGTCCTTGGCAAAGTTCACAAATACCTGTCAGAAGGAAGATGGACATTCATGAATACCTCTTGACTTGTTCTTGTGTGATTACAGTATCATTATTATGTATGTATGGTTGCATTTTGTCCTTGTGTTGAAATTGTGTCAGGTAGGAGAACACAGAATTGAATAAGTAATTGAACTAGAAAACCCCGTGTGAAGGGGAGAATACTTGAAAAACATCAAAAGCAGTTAAAAATTATTTTTTTACATTACCCCCATATCACCAACTGCTCAATCATCTCATCAATTATCACTTTGGCATATTTGGGCTTGATTAAAAGGAAAAGAAAAAACACTTCCTGGATACCTATTAACTACCAATTTTAATATATTTTGTTATTTAAAAAGGATAAGGCACCTGGCAAAATGCCTGGCTCATGGTTGATAGGCAATAAATGGTAGTTATTATGACTACTGCTACAACAGTCACAATAACTCCATATAATAGAAAGCATCATCTTTTTGCATATGCTCATAGAGATTTATACAGAATAGGCAGTAATAACAGAAGGAATCAAAACACAGACAGGCTGAACTTCTCTCAGGCTCATGGTGGGAGGAAGGACCAGGCATCCTAACCCTGCAGCTTAAAGTACTTTGAACTGAAGGCTTACTTGGTCAAGTGTTGTCTGAGAGACAGAGTAGTCTTCTATGTGGAGTCTCTTTTTGCTCTGGGAGAGGATGCTGAATATCCTCGCCAGAGACGACAAGGAGGAGGGAAGCTGGTACTGTAGCATGTTTCGGTGTTTCTCTTTTAGGACACTTCCTGGAAAGGCGAGTCCAAAGAACTCCTGGACAGGCTTCAGATCAGGGTTGGACCCTGCTATTCGCACAACTATGGTGTAACCATCTCCAAACCTGAGGGCAGGAAAAAAAAAAAAAAGTACGTCCAAATGGAGCATTCCCAGAAAACTTCTCAAGATAATACTTAACCCCAAAAACTCTGCTTTGTACTGAGAAAAAGGGAGATCTCTGGCAGACCTACAGAACAGTTTCTGAGAGAAGAAACCAGTTTTATCTAGTCATGTGTTCAGAACCTTGAATTCAAGATTCCATTAAATCCCCAGTGTGGAACCATGAAGTCTGACACACAAACAAACAGAAGCCTAAGAAATTTAGTCACCTGCCCATGTCCCAAAGTTATCTCCTGGGTTATGGTAGGGCAAGGATGTGAACCCATTTCCATTGACTCCACAGTGTGTCCTCATTACCATAACATCACATACAAATTATTAAATTTAATTTATATAACAAAATTCAGAAGTATCCCAGAAAACTGCTTCTCAGAGAGGTTAAGTAACTTGCCTATAAATCACACAACCAGTATGTGGCAAAGTCAGAATTGGACTACTGCCCATTTAGACATCAAAGCCCATGCTCTTTTATTTTTTTATTAATTTATTTTTTTATATTCCAATCCCCATTCCCCCTCCCTCCCCTCACTTCCTTCTCACCCCACCTCCCATCTGCTCCTCAAAGAGGGTAAGGCCTCCCCTAGGAAGTCTACTAAGTCTGTCCCATCATCACATTGAGGCAGGAACAAGGCACCTCTCTATGAGACCACTGGCAATGGGTCCAAGATCTAACTCTAATGCACAAACTGATTTAGTGGAGCCCATGTTCTTTTTGCTAAGCTCTTTTGTTTTTGTTTTAAGCCACCATGTATACACCCAGCAAAGAATAAACACCGACCATTTCACTAGATGCTATCCCAAAGAAATTATCTGTTACCTGTTCTTCAGATGTTGGACGCTGCCAAGGCACCTGAACCTCCCATTGACCATAATGGCCATCCTTGTGCAAAGAGCTTCACATTCTTCCATACTGTGGGAAAAACAGAAGGAGGGTTTCCTTTCAGAGAGATCCCCCTATATCCATGGAAACATCACCATGACACTTGGCACTCTAAAAAAACAGATCCCCATTATCTTAGAGCATCTCTTGCCAAGATACAGGAATGATGCTCTTCTCTGTCATGCGCTTTACAGTTGTGAAAAGGTAGAAGTAATCCAAATGTTTGCACAAGGAAAAGTTACATAAATTAAGGTAGAACTTTATGAAATGCAATCCAGCTATGAGAAGTGATGGCACAACCAAATTTTATGTCTTGAAATAATATTCTCAATATACACATTATAATTACATTTTTTGTTTGTAAAACACTTATGTGTGTATAGCTTTGCATAAGAAAACTCTGGACTATATACAGACAAATGATAATAGTTATCTTGAAGTGGAATGATTCCAGGTGATAACTGTTTCAGTCTTAGCCTTTGTTTTCTAATTTTCATTAATTAACCAAATATAATCAATCACACACTGCAGAGGCCAAGACTATATAGTACAGACCTATGAGATGTGAGAACTACAGATCTCCCCTCCTTGACAATGCTTAGGGCACAATTCCACAAGAATCTCCGAGCTTTGGGGTCCATGCCTGTGGTTGGTTCATCCTATAATTAGAATAAAATAAGTTTAATTATTTGCTGAGAAAAATACCAAAGATAATTTTTTTAATGCTAAAGATCATGCATGGTGTGGTGGCACACACCCTTAATCCCAGCAGTGGGGAGGCAGAGGCATGTGGATCTCTGTGAGTTCAAGGCCAGCCTAGTCTGCATAATGAGTTCCAGGTAGCTAGGACTGCTCTGTGAAATCCAATCTCCAAAAACAAACAAACAAACAACAAAAAACCCAAAAAACATTTTTTAAGAGTAAGGTTTAGGCAAAACTAATATATTTTCCCCTAGGTCACTCCTTGTTCTATTATACTTGCTAATCTTATGCAAAGTTCAGATTCATATGGTCAAGGTAACATTAAAGCCTCAAGTCAGGCTTCTTCCCATACCTCTAGTGTTTTCTACAAAATGAGTGTCAAGGGCCACTGCCCAGTCTGATCTGGTTTTTCTTTATCTGCATGTAAGGAACTATGGTCCAGTGTCTACTATGGTCACCTCGAAGCACTGTCCTCACTCTCTGTCTTTGGAGGATGAACATACAGTCATGAGCCATGAAGAATGTTCCTGAGAGAGATCAAGTCTCACACTCAGCTTCAGCCATACTAGGAGGGATTATCCAAGGCAAGAAAACAAGGTGTCTGGAGCATGTTTTTGGGGGGAAGCCTTTTAAGGTCCAGCAGAGTCACCCAGTGTGCTCTGTGGGAGGAGCTTCCCTGTGCTTCTTCAAGCCTGTTCTGCAGTGAATGGCAGATTGACTTACTGTCACCCTGCCAAGTATGCAACATGGCCCACATGTGACTTCAGATGAACCACGTTCATTCATGACAGAATAGCTGCTACCTTCCCCTCACACTCACCACCTGCACACTCACCAGAAACACCACAGGAGGCCCGCCTATCAATGCCATGGCCGTGGAAAGCTTCCGTTTGTTGCCTCCACTATAGTTACTGGCATATTTCTCTCCATACTTTACGAGGCCCAGTTTGCGAATTGCCCATTCACCAACCTAGAGAGACAAAGAGCACTTTGAGCTTTGTCTGGTTCAGTACTATCATCATGCTTTCTTACATGAGTAGGACTCAAGTCTCAGCTACCTCTGAGGACTCAGGGGAGGGAGAAGAGATTCGTGTGACAGGACCGCACTTGCTCCCTGACCCCTAGCCTGTGTATGCCTACTCTCCCTTCTCCCACCATGAGAATGGGTGCAGAGAAGAGACTACAGCAGGGCAAGGAAAAGGTCTCAGCTTGCCACCATGTGTGAGAAGCTATGCCATATAAGGGTATCAAAAGAGACAACCGGGCTTTCTGGTTCCCACAATACCTTGCCAACTTCTTTTTCTGGGACTCCCCTCAAGAGGGCAAAGAACTCCACGTGCTCTCTCCCAGTCAGCAGCTCGGTTATGGCATCAAACTGAGGGCAGTAGCCCATGTTCTGATGTACTTCATGGATATTTGTTAAGATGCTGTAAAGGAAGATAGAACCAGTCTTCAGAGATGTTCTGATGAGACAATCTGGTCTGACATCCCTACAAGAAATATCCTGGTACAGAACAAATCTACACCTGCTTCTGAAGTTTTCAGGGACAGCCTTGCTGTTCCAAGGATGCCAACTCTTCCAAGCAGTAAGGGTCCTGTCTCTGCCCTGCCTTGGTCTCATTGGCTCATGAATACTTCAACCTGCAGGCTTGGTTCAGTTTCAAAAGGAGACTATGTTGTGGAATAATGTTTTTGTACACTGTGAAGATTTGTCACTCAGAATGGTTTAATAAAAAGCTGGACAGCCAACAGCTAGGTAAGATTTTTGGGGCAGAGAGGATGTTGGGAAGAGGAAGGGCAGAGACAGAGAGTTGCCAGCCAGAAGGAGAAGAAGCAGCATGGGTACTGCAGAGTAAAAGGAATAAAGCCTCAAGATAAAACGTAGATTGATAAAAATGTGTTCAGTTACTTTATTAAGAGCTAGTTAGTAACAACCCTCAGCTATTGGCTGAGATTTCATAATTAATAATCAGTCTGTATATGGTGCTTTGGGAACTGGCAGGCAGGACAGAAAAGTCTGCCTACAAGTCAATGCAACTGTAGCACAGTCTTTGCCAACAACCTCAGTCACACCTATCTGGAACTTTAAGCACTAAGTCTCCATCCCAAACTTGACTGTGTGAGATGGTCCTAAGTACCAAGTACCCTTTTACTCCAGTCTTCTCCATGACCTTGTGGTACCACATAAGGTCCAGAAATGCTGGGTACGAGCTCCCAACTGCTGAATCAGCCCTAACATTCATGTTCCAAACATCCTGGTTCCAGTAAACACACAGTGCAGACTCCCATATGTTCCTCTATTTGCTTATTTTATTATAGACCCTCTAACATATGGTAACAGAGAAAAAATACACATATAGACAATTTTACTTATACCTGTGGGGGTGCCCTCTAGGTCTATGAAGCCAGTTAAGCTAACAGTTGTCATTATCTGAAAACTTCAGCACTCATACCCCAGTATGATGGTTGCCTTTCAGCTACTTCCAGACAGTCATGAACTTGACACAGGCACAGCCCTCTCTGCTTATTTAGTACTCTTGGGTCAGCCTTCTTAAGACTTGTAACTGAGGAACCCATGGTCACTGTGTCTGACTCCCATAGCTACATTGCCCAAGCCAGTTGTATAATCAGTAGCTGAGATAAACCTTAGGATGTGCCAGTTATTGTCACCTCTGCCTGTTCCAGGAACTTGGTACTAGAAGAAGACTGGCGAGTCATTACTAGTCACAAAATTTCTATTCCTTTAAGGGTCCTTTAGATTACTTTAGATTACTTAAAAAAAAAAAAACTCAGCAAGAGATGGGATAAGTTCATGATGTACCTGACTCTACAATAATACTGACTGAACCTCTACCCAGCATTTTTGAACTATGAGCAATCTCCCATTGCTGGATTGTGAAATAAATTCAGTAGGTCACAGCACCAGCAATTTTTAAATGTCATGACACAGACTAGAATATGAACTATTAGGGTACCCAACAAGAAATAACAGTAGATTCCATTTTAACGAACTTTTCATTTAGGTGTATATATGCCCATGTGCCTACATGTCTGTGTATATGTACTACATTCAAATGAAAAAAAAATGGATTTTCTATGTGGCCATGATCAGCAAAGTTCCAAAGGTATATAATATGTATTTATTTATATAAAAATAACCTGGAGAAGCCCCACATCTTTAGAGTACTCAAGGAAAATGTCACTAACAGGTCTCTAATGTGTAGCTTTATCCACAAAGATTAGAAAATAACTTAACAGTGGCTTTCTCAACTGGCACACACTTTAGAGAGGCAATTAGACAGGTATATGCCCTTCTACCACACAGTGACTTTTCCAAGCAAATAACAGAAATTATCTACAGGGATATATTTACACAGTGAAAATAGTAACTAACTAATGCCCAATGTTTATAAGGAATTGATCAAATGAAGATATTTACTTAGTGGAGTTTCTAGATTTTAGCTTATGTAACCCATTGGGAACTCTTCATGATAAACTTGTTACTAATAGAAACTCAAAATCTATACAGAGCATTGCTCTGACATGACATCCACATGCATCAAAACAGATCTGAGCCAATGGAAAATTATAACTGAGTAATTCTAGGAATTTACTAAAACATCTGTTCCCTCAGAACAAGTAAATTATATGTCTGTAAATTATACCTAAATAAAGTTTTAGGGACGAGTGAAACTGCAAGAAAATATAAAAATAGTGCTTATTTTCAGGTGGTGAATCAGAGGTGATTTTAAGAGCTTTCGACCTAAGTCATTTAAATGTTTTTACAAACTACAGTACTGGGATAGTCAGAACGTAACAGTGTATTTCTTTTTTTCTTTTCTTTTTCTTTTTAGGGAAGAATGAGTTTTTTGAGGTACAGTTTGGAGGTACAATCATCATAGGAAGGCATGGTAGCAGAGATGCAAGACACCAGGCAGGAAGGAGACATAAAGTAGGGCTGGACCATAAAGTCTCAAAGCACATGCCTAGTCACATACTTCCTCCTGCTGGGATCCATCTCCTAAAGGTTCCACAACCATCCCAAACAGCATGACCAGCTTAGAATCAAGTGTTCAAACACATGAGACTATGGGGGACATTTTCAAATCAAGCCACTACAAGGATGAAAATGTAAATTCTGTCCCAAGACCAAGTATAACCAGACCCAGATCCAATTTCTTAAAGCTGAAGAAAGAAAGTCTGCACAGCAAACACAGGGTGCTTCTTCCCTCACCTGTTTTTGTTGAGAAAAGCATCCCCTCTGGTCACAGTGGTGTCTCCCGTCAGCATCTTGAAAGTTGATGACTTCCCAGCACCATTGACGCCCAGAAGTCCAAAGCACTGAAAAGCAAGACTAAGTTAGCTGCAGGAACAAACTTGTAAATTTCAGTCTGCATGGCCTGATAAAAAAGCCTCCTGGACTTGGATGTGATTTGCCACTGACCCCAAAGAATCACTCTTATCAATGAGATGTTCAATATTCAGATGTTGTGCGTGCGTGCGTGCGTGCGTGCGTGCATTCTTGCATGTTTTTTTGAGAGAGAAAGGGTGGGGGAGAGAATGTGTTTATAGATGGGCTATGTTGTAGGTCAATCAGTGAAGAACTGTAATGAAAGCCACTGGTCACAACTCACCACCTACCGACTACCCTAATAACATACAAAAAAGTAAAAAAAAAAAAAAAAAAAAAAAAAAAAAAAAAAAAAATGGAAAAAGGATCCTCAAAGCATGATCTAGATGTGCATGCCTTCTCACACTGCCTGAGTGCCCAATATTGTCCTATTCTCTCCATAACTGATTATTTTTCATAGACACAAATAAAGAAACCTTTAAAAGGCATTTCATATTATCACAGACACCATTGTTTGATTTGGTAGATATAGTCTGAATTAATAGAGATAAAACACAATATAGACACAGTGCTTTTACCTCACCAGGAGGAATGCCCACACAAATCCTGTCAACGGCAGGCTTCCGCTTCCTTCTGTAGATCTGCAAGCAATGAAACACAGAAATCCATGTACCTCAGTGACTAGGGGCTTTACCACAACTATGGGCAAGGGGACTCTAAACCACACACATTACGAAATACAACTCACCAAATGACTAAGCCACACAGTGCATGTGACAAGAGGCTTTTAACTGACTGAAACTCAAAATTGAATTTTTTTATTTCTAACCTGAGTATTTAAAAACACTTGATATTATTTTAAAATTAAATTACATAAGGTACAAATCTATGTCTCAAACACAATAAAGCAAAATTTAAGGGTTACAGTATTTGGAAAGGGCTAAAGCAGACCTCATCTTTCTGAGCAATGGAGGTAGAGTTGCTGTTTGAGCCATGAAACTCAAAATCAGCCATTTATTCTCTGTGCCTTGGCTACACACACAATGTTAGTATGTTTTAATAACTAACATAAATATAAATATGCAAAATCAATAAATCTGTGAGTGGGAGTTGCATTATAGAAGTATTTTGAGTAGGATTTATTTTTTAAACTAACAAGTCTCCATGGAGTATTTTAAATACAATCAACAAAGCTTGGTGCAGATGCACATTTGGGGAAGCATTTTGTTTTAATTAAGCAAGTCAGCAAAATGCTAGCCAGCAGATGAAATGAAGAAAACTGAAGACAAGCTATTGGAGTCCATACTGGTGGCCTCACCTTAGTCAGCTCCTTGATTTCCAGGATGTCGTTCTGTCCTCCACCATCCAGGATTCTCTGTCTCTCGCGTCTCACATCCTCATCCTCATCATTCAAAGGAGGAAGCTTTGCCTTCACGGGTCTTCGGAGAAACATTTTTTAAGAAAGATCAAACTTTGCAGCTTCTTCCCAAGGCAAAAATCATTCCTCTAAAACGATCTTATCAAGCCCACTTGCCACCGCTAGGACAGATAGGACTGGGAGCTGAGGATGCTCACAATAGAAAAATCTACTTAACTGTGTGAGCTCAGCTCAGTGAAGTCACCCAGGACAGGGTTCCCCCTCCACCCACATGCAGTTATTCCAAAGACTTCTGAGAAAAAGCTCACCTGGGCCTGATGAAAAACCTGTACTGGATCAGTACAGTAATGAGGAAGAACACCACCCCTTCCACGGCCATGGCAAAAAGGTTTCGTCCTACCAAGTCCCAAGAGAGTGGAGACACAAAGCGATTCTCCCCTGTGAGACACAAAGCAGACATCTGGTCAAAGAGGAGGTATGGGAAACCACCACCCTACTTCCTGTTTCTGGGGTGAAGATTCCCTTTGAGTCTACCTTGAACATGGCTTCACACAGAGAGTACACTTTAGTTGTATGCGGTTTTTGTTGTTTGTTTTTCCATTGAAATTAGTAAATCGTATGCTTAACCTGCCAGGCTAATTTAAGTGTAAAAATCTTTTGAACACTTGAAAAATTAAAGGACTCCCTTTATATTAAAAAAAGAAAAAAACAGGGAGGAGGGAGGAGGGAGGGAGTAGAGGTGGAGAGAGAGAGAGAGAGGAGAGAGAGAAAGGGAGAGAGGGAGAGAGAGAGAGAGAGAGAGAGAGAGAGAGAGAGAGAGAGAGAGAGAGACTCCTTCCTTAGCTTTGTGGTCAATTTCATGTAATTTTCTAGAAATGCCAATGGCCACCACCCATGACAAGAAGAAAACAGGAGTAAGGAAAGTGGCTACTTCTGAGATTTTATTTGGAGAATTATAATATAATCTGTCAGTCAGAATTTCAGAGCCAATTTGCATTAGATCTGTAACTTCATTAGGACTGCTAAGATTTCTTTTTTAATGAGACATGCCCTCCCCCCCCAAAAAAAAAAAAACAGTCATGTCTAATAAGGCAAATCCTGGGTAATTCTTGGGGTCAGATTTTTTTTTTAGCTCTAAGTTTTAAAATAACAAGTATTAGAAAACACACTCAAAAGATGCCCATTTCTGCAGATGTAACCCAGTGACTTGTTAGATGGTTTTAGAAAAATATCCCTGAATTCTTCTTATGTCTCCTTTGTATGGCTAAACTGAAATAAAGTCCCTCTTCTATGTTTATTGAGTAGCATAGCCCATCTAACCAAATTAACCAGCCAATGAATAATAATCACATAAGGTAGGAGGCATTTCAACCATTATAAAAGTAGAAAAAGCTTCTACAAATTACCTCTGGGCAGATACATGAAACACAGTATGTGAGCACACTTGCAGGCCAATGGTTCTTAGCAGACTCTAAGTGCAGGTCTTTCTTTTTGAATCTCCGACCCTTATCTAATTGCCAAGGGTATGGCTTGATTTTCCCAGTGATTTGACAAACTGATTAGTGACATTAGGCATTAGTTTCAAACAAATGCCAACATTTGCTTCCAAAATTGGTTTGTTTATTTGTGATGAGACTCATCACAGACCGGCTGTGTTGGTGGTATTAGCCTATAAGGGGTGTTGAGGGGGACAGACCTCCTGGACCCAGTCACACCTTCTTCCTAAAGCAGCAATCAGAGTGCCGAGGCCCGTGAAAATGGCCTCCTCCATTAAAGCCAGTCCTGCAGCTACTGCCTCACTCACCAAACCTCTCCAGGGCGTCAGCCATTGCCTGGTTTTTCACCATATCAATGAGCCCTCGTCCCAGGCAAAAATGTGGGAAGATCAGGAACACAGACTTCAGGATGTCATTGATGTTATTCAGCTTCTGAAGATGAGAAAGATGAGAGAGAGACTTAGATCATTCATAGTGGGAGTCTGAAATATGGGTGTGAAAAAAAGCATCTGATTCCCTGGACCTTTGCATTCAGACACCAATAAATAGCAGCAGGTCTTTTCTTCAGAAAATCTTGCATGTGAAAGGAAAAAAAAAATTTTAAACTTTTGTTTACTTTTAATCAGACACAAATCCACAACAAAACATTAGCTTAGCATTTTAAAAGCAGATCATTTGTATCTAGGTCAATATTTGAGTTTCAGTATTTTGTTGAAATTTGAAAAACATCTTCTCAATTACATCAGGATGTATCATGACCCCATAAGACAGGTTGAGTAAATATCAAGCCACTGGAGCTGCAGAGGTGGCTCAATGGTTACAGAGGAGCAGGGTTTGGTTCCCTGTACCCACAGACGGGCTCACAACTGTCTATAACTCTACTTCCAGAGGATCCAACTCCTTTGCCTGGCCTTTGGGCACTATACACAAGGTAAACAGACATACATGCATGTAAAACACCCATACCCATAAAATATAAAGAGAAAAATGTCCCAACAGTTGAGTAAGTTGTTATTTGTTGGAAATGTTGGGCTAGGGCATGGAGGTTGCAAATGTTAATAATCTGTCTTACTCAGAGTAAAGGAAGCTTGTGAACAGGAAATGATGGCATGACCAAATGTGTGTTACACTGAAGGAAGAACTGAGGGTTCTGACAGTCCAGAGAAAAGAAAGCACACACACCATAGGTCAAAAGAGGAAAGCTTTTGAAACATTAGAGTTAAATCTTAAAGGTGTGGTAGACCAAAATTAAATCAAGAACAGATAAGCAACTTAAATAGACCTATAACCCCTAATGAAATAGAAGCAGGTATCAGAAATCTCCCAACCAAAAAAATGCCCAGGGCCAGATGGCTTCAGTGCAGAATTCTACCAGAAATTCAAGGAACAGCTAATACCAATTCTCCTCAAAGTATTCCACACAATAGAATTGTATCAGAGAAATCATCCATCATGATCAAGTAGGCTTCATCCCAGGGATGCAAGGATGGTTCAACATACAAAAATCCAATAAAATACTGGCAAACAGAATCCAAGAACACATCAAAGAAATCATCCACCATAATCAAGTAGGCTTCATCCGAGGGATGCAAGGATAGTTCAACATACAAAAATCCATCAACATAATCCACCATATACACAGACTGAGAAAAACAAACAAACACATGATCATCTCACTAGATGCCGAAAAAGCCTTTGACAAAATCCAACACCCCTTCATGATAAAGGTCTTGGAGAAATCAGAGATAACAGGAATATACCTTAACATAATAAAATCAATATACAGCAAGCTGACAGCCAACATCAAATTAAATAGAAAATCAATGCAATTCCTCTAAAATCAAGGACAAGACAAGGCTGTCCACTCTCTCCATATCGCTTCAATATTGTCCTTGAAGTTCTAGCTAGAGCAATAAGACAACAAAAGGAGATCAAGGGAATACAAATCAGAGAGGAAGAAGTCAAATTTCACTATTTGCAGATGATATGATAGTCTACATAAGTGACCCGAAAAATTCTACCAGGGAACTCCTACAGCTGATAAATACCTTCAGCAAAGTGGCAGGATACCAAGATTAACTCAAAAAAATCTGTAGCCCTACTATATACAGATGACACTTTGGTGGAGAAAGAAATCAGAGAAAATCACCCTTTACAATGCTACAAACAACATAAAATACATTGGGCTAACACTAACCAAAAAAGTGAAAGACCTGTACGGTAAGAATTTTGAATCTCTAAAGAAAGAAATTAAAACAAATACCAGAAAATGGAAGGATCTCACATGCTCTTGGATATATAAGATCAACATAGTAAAAATGGCAATCCTGCCAAAAGCAATCTACAGATTCAATGCAATCCCCATCAAAATCCCAACACAATTCTTCACAGACCTTGAAAGAACAATTCTCAACTTTATATGGAGAAACAAAAGACCCAGGATAGCCAAAACAACCCTGTACAATAAAGGAACTTCTGGAGGCATCACCATCCCTGATTTCAAGCTCTATTACAGAGCTATAGTCCTGAAAACAGCTTGGTATTGGCACAAAAATAGACAGGTAGACCAATGGAATAGAGTTGAAAACCCTGATATTAACCTACACACCTACAAACACCTCATTTTTGACAAAGAAGTTAAATTTATACGATGGAATAAAGAAAGCATCTTCAACAAATGGTGCTGGCATAACTGGATTCTGGAATGTAGAAGACTGTAGATAGACTCAAGTCTATCACCATGCACAAAACTTAAGTCCAAATGGATCAAAGACCTCAACATAAATCCAGCCACACTGAACCTATTAGAAGACAAAGTGGGAAATACCCTTGAATTAATTGCTTCAGGAGAAAGCTTCCGGAACATTACACCAGTAGCACAGACACTGAGATCAACAATTGATAAATGGGGCCTCCTGAACCTGAGAAGCTTCTGTAAGGCAAAGGACAGTCAGCAAGACAAAACAGCAGCCCACAGGCTGGAAAAACATATTCACCAACCCCATATCTAATAGAGGGCTGTTCTCCAAAATATACAAAGAACTCAAAAAGCTAGTCTCCAAAACACCAAACAATCCAATTAAAAAGTGGGGTACAGAACTAAATGGACAGTTCTCAAAAGAGTAATCTAAAATGGCTGAAAGACACATAAAAAATGTTCAACATCCTTAGCCATCATGGAAATGCAAATCAAAACAACTCTGAGATACCATCTTACTCCTGTCAGAATGGCCAAAAGTAAAAACACCAATGACAGTTTATGCTGGAGAGGATGTGGAGAAGGGGAAACACTTCTCCACTGCTGGTGGGAGTGCCAACTTGTACAACTACTTTGGA